ATCAGTAATCATGTGCATCTGCACGTAGTATGAAAGCAGCACTTTTCTGAGGAATTGAATCTCTTCACATCTTTGCATTTCATGTTGAAAAGATAATTTTTCTCTTGATTTACCCCTGGGAGTGCAAAGGGAAACTAAACAGCATGTGCTGAAAGGAAGAATTCCTGGTGTTTGTTGGTGTTTTATCACTGATAGTCAAGAAGTTTTGAAAATGTTCTCAAAACACAGGCAGAAAGAGTAGTGGCTTTACTATGGCTATGATCCCTTAAACACTGCTTACCTTCCTCTTATCTCCCAATATTTATTTTCTGTGGCTTTGTGTGAGAATAAGGAATGGATTTTTACAAAAATATTTACACCTACATATTGGTAAATATCACAACAATTCCTACTGTGTTAACAATGTCTACTGGCACAAATTCCAGCATGTTACCTGGAAAACAATGTGTTTTCTTAATCTATGTTATAATATGAAATCAAATTTATATGAAACCAGATTAATAAGAAATCAAATTACATAAAATGTGCATCAAATTAATATGAAATCAAATTGCATTAAAAGTATACATAAGAACATAAGAAAGGCCGTACCGGGTCAGACCAAAGGTCCATCTAGCCCAGTATCCTGTCTACCGACAGTGGCCAATGCCAGGTGCCCCAGAGGGAGTGAACCTAACAGGCAATGATCAAGTGATCTCTCCCCTGCCATCCATCTCCACCCTCTGACAGACAGAGACTAGGGACACCATTCCTTACCCATCCTGGCTAATAGCCATTAATGGACTTAACCACCATGAATTTATCCAGTTCTCTTTTAAACTCTGTTATAGTCCTAGCCTTCACAACCTCCTCAGGAATAAACCTATACATAGATATAAATCGGTATCCGTGGTGCTGCTGGGCTCTATTGGGAACCGCAGCGGTGAAAGCAGCAGCCTGGCGGGCTGCCACTCCCATGAGCCAATGCCCTGCACTGGCAGCTCCTCCAGCCCCACCCATTGCACTAGCATGACCAGGGACAGCTGCCAGTGAGCCTGCTGCCTGCCCCAGTAGGCAGGGCTGGGGGCAGTACAGCCACTCCAGAGGAGCTGCCAGTGCGGGGTGCTGGCTCCTGCAAGTGGCGGCCCACCAGGATGCTGCTTTTGCTGCTTCAGTTCCCAGTAGAGCCCTGGAAGATACCTATTTATATCTGCGGATATCCACATCAGAAAAGAAGGAACACGCAATTAGTTAACATGAAAAATTTCATTTAAGTAACTCATCTGGCATCTCACAGGAACTCTGTGACAGAGGCAGGTATAGAATCTAATTTTCCAGGGCAGCTTTGAATTTTCTTGACCATGAGACCCTCCTTTCTCTTCCTACAATTCACTGCCTCATTCACTATATACCTTCCAATTTGTGAAACAAATGAGGCAGGAGTCATAAAGACAACAGCCTCTTTTAGTACACAAGCTTGATTCATTCCCAGAGCAGATCAATCTGGTGCACTGAATGAGGCTGGGGTCCTGTGGAAAAAATAGTACGTGATCACGTAATGAAAGACTGTAATACATATGCACAAAGGGGCTGAATTAAGGAGTATCAAGAGATTAAATTACTTCTATATTTGGCACGTGTCGCAACCACTACTGGAATACTGTTCCAGTTCTGGTGTCCACAATACCAGAGGATGTTGATAAATGGGAGAATGTTCAGAGAAGAACCACAAGAATGATTGAAGGATTGAAATACATGCCTTAGAGTGACAGACTCCAGGAGCTCAATCTGTTTAGTTTAACAAAGAGAAGGGTAAGGGGTTACTTGATCACAGTCTCTAAGTACCTGTGTGGGGAACAAAATTTTGATAATGCGGGTTCTTCAGTGTAGCAGAGAAAGATATAGCAAGATCCAAGAGTTGGAAGTTGAGGCTAGACAAAGATTAGAAATAAAGTGCAAAATTTTAATAGTGAGGATAATTAATCATTGGTACATTTTTTCTCAGCCTGTGGTGGATTCTCCATCACTGGCAATTTTTAAATCAAAATTGAATGTTTTTCTAAAAGATATGCTGTAGTTCAGATAGAAATTAATTCAGGAAAGTTCTATGGTATGTGTTGTGCAGAAAGTCAATCTAGTCAATTACAGTGGTCCCTTCTAGCCTTTGGATCTATAAGGTTGCACAAGTAACCTTAGTTCGGGCATTTCCTAAATTATGAATGTTTGGCTTTGTAACGTTAATAATATTCTTTTAAAATAGGATTTTTGTGTGTAATTTCCCATGTTAAAAAAAACAGAAATTCCATCATGTAGCATCGTACCGACATCCATATTGTTCATCAGCAGGGTTGGAACCTTAAATCCACTTCACAGACCTCTGCCACTTGAGTTAATGGAATAACTCATAGCAGAAGTAGTTTGTTATCCTCTATGCAGGCCAGCAGCAGATGGGGATGAGACACTCACTTTGCTAGTGGGTTTCACAAAGATTTGCTGACAGCAGGGGAATGGTGAGACTCAGGAATCCAGGTTTCCATTCTAGGTTGTGGAGGGGAGAGTGATCTAGTGGGCACACACTCTTGTGCCCATTTTCCCCAAGCTTGATGCTTTCATCCTGTCCCCTGCAAATAGTCCCTGTCCCAGTCCTGTCTCTTCCCCACTGCTCTGTGCTTCCTGGGTCCAGTCTGGGGTGCATTCAGGAGACAGGAAGAACAGACTCCCTTATCTCAGTTACAGTGCTAAGCTCTAGTCCACAGCCCAAGTCCAGAGTAGCTGGAAGCAGCCATCACAGGGAAAGTCCAGCTTCGTTCCTGTAGCTAAGGGCTTGAGCATGCTCATTCAGTCTGTAGAGAGGGTGCATGTGCAATCCAGTCACACTGGCAGCTGAGAGAGGCTCAAGCATAATCAGTGAGGATGGAATCATCAGAGATTTTAGTTGCTAAAGTCTAAGAAGTCTCTACTGAGCATGTGTGAACTGTGATTTTTTTCCCAAAGGCTTATAACTTGGCCAAATTTGAGTGGATTTTCACAGGAATAGCACAAGGCACATCCCTAGGGTGACCAGATGACACCGGGGGGAGGAGGCGTCCACCGGCAGAGCAAAAAAAAAAAATGCCGGCGGAGCGAAATATCGGGACGGTCCCAATTTTATCGGGACGTCTGGTCACCCTACACATCCCCAATACAAGGGCCACTCCACTGCCAAATTTCTCTAAATCAAAGGGATGCTAGAGCTGTTAAAATAGGAATTTCTTACCATGGGCAAAATGACGTCCCCCCCCCCCCTCCCAAGATTTGTTCTCAGAAATAGCTGAACTTTTTTGCTGAGGTTTTCCATTTAAACAAAAATCAGCACAAGGCAGATCCCATCATGGAAAATTTCAGCCCAAATGGTTAAAATTTGGCCAAGTTATAAGCAATTGAAAACTGAGTCTTATACTAATAAGTGGCTCCTCCAGCTCTCCTATAATGTATTAAATGAGTTTTACATTTGAGAAGGTTATAGTGCTCTTGAAAGAACAGGTCTTAGAATGAATTAAGTGGTGAGGATATAATATGTGACAAAATGGGAATATTCCATTTATATAATTACTGATGAATGAACAACAGCTATTAATTGAATTATCAAGTTTATTAGTGGCGACCCATGAACAATTGTGTTCAACACACTTTGCATAAATGTTTTGTGAATGTGCACATAACACTTTCAGATTAACGTCCCAAGGTGGTGAGCTGCAATCTATAGACTAAATTCTGGCTAGTCCTACTCGAGTATGCTGGTGGGAAAAGGGCACATGGAGCCTCTTCTCCTACGTTATTGACACTGCACAGTACCCTGGCAGAATGCTTTCTCTAGCATTCCATAAACACTACAAAGGAACTGGCTAGTGTGCTCGGCAGTAAATTGGGGAGGTGGCCAGGGCCCTGCCTTCCCCGTACACCTGCTGGCATCCAACTGCAGGCACTGTGGGAAGGGCATACTTCTTATTTTTGATGAAATTGTAAGGGCCAATGCAAAGTGTGCCACTCCACCTTAGCCGCTCTGCTTTCTTCTGCTGTACAAAGGCAGAAAGTTGCAAGGAATTTCTGCGTGGCTTCTGGAGCTTTGATCCTCCCTCCAGTGCTCCTTTCAGGAGGAAAGCCAGAGTGCAGTCCTATAATGTTACAACTGTTATTTACCCATCTGAGAGTCCCTAACAATAATCTCATGCTTTTTAAGCAGTGATTAAAGTACATCAAAATTTGAGAGGGAGCTCACCAGTGCTGGTGGTTGTGTGTTGTCATGGATGTTGACAACATGTGATGAAATGACATTGAATCATCTTGTGATGGGACATGGCAAAGGGAAAACAATAGGGAAAAGGAAATAAATGAATTGGAAAGGAGTCAGTTGTTCCTGCCCAAGTCCATTGTCATCCAAACAAAGCTGGGTGTGTGGCCTGCAAAAGTGCATTGTGTATAGGGAACATCCTTTGTGTTCCAAACACCTTTAGCTTTTACCCCTTCCTCACCCCTACATGCTACTGGAGAGTGCCAGAAGGGGAGAGGGCACTAACATGGTCATGTTTCCCCTTGATTTGGCACAGAATGGGGGAGCCAGTGCCGCGGTCTTCCTTTGTCCATGTAGGGGAGAACTGAGGGTAGCAGGCTGTCTTTCTTTCCTTCTCTGTCCCCTGGTCTTCAGTCAGGCACCAGATTCTTCTAATCCTTGCACTTTAAAACCTCCCAGCTGAGGAATCTTTGTTTCTTCAGCCACTGAAGAGGCAGGAGGAAGGGGTGCTCTCTCACCTCAGGAAAGGGACAGGAAGTAGAAATCTCCCACTGTTGTAGCCAGGAAGAGGGGAATTTTGCTTTCACACACTCCCCCTTACTTTTAATCCCTAGCTACTAGCATATTCTTAGGGACAACAAGTCTCCATTCACCTGTTTGTGCCAGGCTGGTCAAGTGGTTATCCATATGTTATCCAAGCCAGGGCCTTTTCCCTGTAAAATGACCTTTTTTCCTTCCTACTCGTTCTTAGAATTCATTGTTTCCTGTTAGTGACTGCTGCTGTGGGAATGGCTGGGATTTTACAATGACAGAGATCACAAAGGATTATGAGCTCTCCATACAAAGAAGAAACTGGCGAAGGGACTGAGGGATATGGGGAAAGTCTGCTTCTCACACAAACAACTTCAGAAAAAGCACTATGAAGAGAGGAACTAGAAACATTGTTGAAAGGTAACTTGATTTACATTTAACTCTCTTACTGATCCACATTTGAATTAATGCAAAAGTTAATTTTAAATATAAAAATAAAATAAGACAAATTTCCCTCTCCCTCTTGGCAAACTGTAGAAAAAAGTGATCTTAATCCTCGGTGAAGTAACACCTTTCCCCCCAGGAACTAAAATGACAGTACCAGAACTGCTTGCAATGCCTGCATGGCTGTGGGTCTTAGCATTGGCACAGGGGATATAGGTTTTTACATAATTGGAAGCCCATTGCCCAGCGCATCTGTACACACAAATGATGTCTGTCTGTCCTGCGTTAATTGGATCTCTGATGTCATGTTTGGGAGTAATGTCTTCATATAGTTAACCATTCCAAATACTTAGTATAACTGTGATGTTCTGAGGGATAAGATCTCTTAGATGTCTTTGATTTGAACTGAGTTGCATTTTAGCCCATATGTCCAAAATTCTGAACTTCCCTCATGGGGATAAATCATACTGTGACAGTGCCTGGGGACTCATGATTCCAGCGGAGTCTGCAGGAGTCTCAGGAGTAAGAGACAGATTCTAAGCAATGGGGTCACCCTTCAGAGAACCAGCAGACTTGAGGAAAAGTGCCTCCTTTACTGCAGGAAGCTCCACTTGCTACCAGGAAATGGCAGAAGTGGCTAATGACTTGTTATAGGCATCTAACCAACCCATTTTATTAAGACAGTTAATTCCCACTTCTCAGGGAGCAAGTACATCTATGTGACCATTGCCTCCCCAATCCCAAGCTCCCTCAGAAAACTCCTAAATCAGCAGACAGCCATCTGTCTAGGAAGGTAGCAGATGATGGCAGCTTCTTTTGCCAATCACTACTTTAGGGTGAGGCAGAGACACCGCGCTGGAGAGAGGGACCAAACCACAAAGGACTTCGGGAAGGAAGTGAGGACAAGGTCAAAGTCACCAGGGACTTGGTGGTGAGAATGAGGACTGGAGGGCAGAACCACCAAGGACTGGGAAGGGGGTGGCATGGTTTGGGTGGTCACTTTGGATGACAGTCAGATACCATGGCGATGAACATATTATAAATACCAATAATAAGTAAACCAAAAGAGAAAGGATGTGAGAAGGGTGTATTCAAAGGTGGGTGCTCAATTTGAATTTGTGCGTGAGGGCCCATACAACTACTGTTATGCCCCTGATTTCACTTTTTTTTTTTAACTTGGCACTTGCCCTGCTTTAGTTTTAATCACAGTGTTCAGCATTGTTTTCAAACATGAAGTATGTACCTCTTCTGTCTTTCTGGGTGCAAGAATGTCATTGTGACCATGGGTCACTTTGGGCTACCTGTGTCACCTGTAGCTGTGGAAATGGGTTACTATACCAGGACTCTGTTTAGTTGGGCTTCAAAGCTTGAATATTTGAGGTGGGATTTGTTTTGCTGTTTGGGAAAGTGCTGTGGCTCATTTCATTGGGTTTAAAAGTGTGGTGTTTTTGTTAAAATCCTTGCTCCTGGTAACATTCACCTGGAAGTAACCAGCAGACTTTTAAGATTTTTACATTAACCAGAAGAATTTCTTCATGCTTCTTGAAGGAGGGTTCCCTCCAGAAAAGGGCTCAGGACCTGACTGAAGGTGGTAGTAGTGAATTGAAGGGTCTGTGGTTGGAGCAGTACAACTGGGGCTACGACTTCCCAAACATTTGTCCCTGAGGGTATGTCTACACTGCAGTTAGACACCCATGGCCGACCCAGGTCAGCTAACTCAGGCTTGCGGGGCTCAGACTAAGAGGCTGTTTAATTGTGGCATAAACATTGGGCTTGAGCCCGAGCTCTGGGACCAGGGCTCGGGCTCCAGCCTGAGCCCAAATGTCTGCAGCGCAATTAATCAGCCCCTTAGCCTGATCCAGGCAGCTGACCCAGGCCAGTCGCGGGTTTTTATTTGCAGTGTAGACATACCCTAAGAATCTCACACACAGAGAAGCTGGAGGGAAGGGTCTTCCTATATTTCATGTAGGGTCATCCCCTAGGAAAGGTGGGTTTACAGGCATCTGCAAAAGAATGTCTCAGTAAAGTCCATTTTAACTGACCCTGGAGAGAATGAGGAGGATGTTTCCTAGATGATGCCCCTCTGGTCTGGGATCTCTGAATTTCCTACCAGTTAAACAACTGGTCATATTTTGAGTTTTTCGCTGTTGTCATTGTGCTTGTTTTTTTTCAAACTTCCGTGCTTCTGTATGTTTTCACCAATAGATTACCCCCTCTTTCAAGCTCTTTCAACCTATTTCTCACTAATCCACACTGTCTCCCTCGGCACAGACAGCCATTATTACTAATGAGCACGTTGGAGCTCAGACATTATTCTCTAGACGATTTCAATTAAAGAGCCAATTCCAAATGGAGTTTGCTGAAAACAGACTCTTCCAAATGGGGTTATAAATGTGATTTTGACACTGTCATTGTGCAGAGGTAGCCAAAACCCAGTGAAGAGAAAACACAAGCTCCAGCTAATTTAGGAGCAATATTAATCTAATGTAGGAAGCATAAATCTTTCTCGTTTCACTGCCTCATTCAATAGCTTAAGGTCTGCTCAAATTCTTATTCTCCCATTCTTTTTTGCCTCTAGGGTTATTGGCATACACCCCAACTCATTGGCTCACTAATTTCCTCTTTGAAGTTTATATTTTTTATTCTGATTAATGTTTGCTTTCACTTTTGGAAGCATTTGAAAAGGACACACCATGTTGTGTATCAAATCTATGGGAAGTAGATTGATTTTTGGAAGAAGATCTTTCATTTCAGTTTTAACTAGCTGAAACATAAGACCAGTGTTCTTGGACCTCTAGGTTTACTTCCTCTACTGCAGGAGGCCCATTCTACAGACTGCATCGTAAACAGTAAATTTTTGTTTGTTACTAGAAATTTAAAATTAATAGCCCAAATGTAATTTCCCTTGTGAGATGTGTACATTGGTTATCATAGGCTCCAGCAATGTCTGCTGTGCTATGTACTGATTTCTGGGGTACTGGAATTATATCTTCATCTGCATTGATCTTAAAATTCACTCTTCTGACATATAGCCGTACTGCTACTTGCTATTTATTACTGTTCTCTTCACAAGTAATCAGTCCTAAAATCAATGCTCCTAATTCATACTCTGTGCCTCCAACCACTATTTATTTCACCATTTTAGTGCAGTGGATCATCTTAATGTGTTCCAGTTAGTTGCATTTTCTGTGTCTTTTGTTTCATGCTGAGCAATAATCTTTTGATTGTGTTTGTGTTTGCAGTGAGTGCATGTTGCATCTGTTCTTATGCCAGATCCTTCCTTTCTGATACTTTTCTTGAGTGTATTCCATTTCTTTCCTTACTCTTGTGTAAACAGAATTGGCCAATAAGCAAAGTCATCTGGTTTTTTAGTAGTTTCCTGATCTGCATTTTGATTTTTAGGTCCTGACAAAGCTCCTATTTAAGTCAGCAGCAAAACTACTATGGAGGTCAATGAGATCAAGAGCAATCCCTTAATGAGTTTAGAGTGACATGCTATTTAATTTGCATTTTTTCAGTGTCGTCTCTAATGCTAGTGATATTCTTTGTCATAAAATCCCGATTAAAAATAGATACCAGAAGGATTCTTCTTTTGTCTGCTGAATGTTGTTATGCTTGGCTAGTTTATGCAAGCTTCTAATTATTATTATTAATAATAATTAATAATTAACACTTCTACATTGTCTTCCATCTGAAGAACTCTATGCACTTTGGAAAGATTAATGAATTAAGCTTTACAACAACCAGGTGAGGTGGGTATTATTATCTCCACTTCACACAAGCGGAAATTGAATCAAAGGGTATGTCTAGACTAGATTTTTTGGCCCTGGGCTAACTTGAGTTAACTGATTAACTTGAGTTGTGGTCCCACTGTAACTTGAGATAATTGATTGCCAATACTTAACTACCACCATTGTACATCTTAATGTAAACACTGCACAGATGTTTGTTCCATCACACAAACATTTGTGGAGTGTCTAGATTAGTATTTACAAAGGTGTTATAGTTAATTGGCAAATTTAGGTTACAACCAGGCCACAGATTCTAGTCTACATATAACCAAAGAAGCTGAAGGACTTGCTCAAAGTGACAAGTTTGTGGTAGCATCAGGAGTAAAGTCCAGCTCTTCAGACTCCCAGCTGTGTGTATTAATAACTGAGCCAAGCTTTCTCCCTAAAAAATTTCTCCATGGATTTCCTAGTGCCCTACTTCTCATCATATTCCTTTATTCCAATAACCTAATTACAGTAAAAGCTTTTTTATCAGGCATGTTGGAGGAATGCGGGGTGCCGGTAAGTGAAAAATTCTGGTTAACTAAGTTTGGGTGCAGAAGGGGGCTCAGGGTAGAGGGTTGGGGCTTGGGTGGAGTTTCGGGGTGCCGGATCTGGGGGTTGCTCACCTCAGGCAGCTCCCCGCAGGTGGCAACCTGTCCCTGCTGCTCCTAGGCAGAGGCGTGGCTAGGCGGCTCTGTGTGTTGCCCCTGCCCCGAGCGCTGGCTCCGCAACTCCCATTGGCCGGGAACTGCGCGTGAGCCGCCCGAGGTGAGCGATGCCCAAATCTGGCACCCCAAAACTCCTCCCGTGCCCCTGCCCTGAGCCCACTCCCGCACCCAGATTCCCTCCCAGAGCCCACGCTCCGCATCCCCTCCTGTGCCCCAACCCCCAGCCCTGCACCCCCTCCCACACTCCAAACCCCTCATGGCCATTCCTCCGCCTAGGAGCAGCAGGGACATGTCACCACTTTCGGGGAGCCATGCGGAGCCAGGTAGGGAGCCTGCCGGCCCCACGCCAACTGGACTAGAAACTGGACTTTCTATGAACTTTAGAAATGCCCATTTAGAAAGCTTTCCAGTTGGTACAGAGCCGAATAACACAGCTTTTACTGTATTTACTGGCCTCCTCATATGTAAAAAACACTTAAAGAAGCACTTGTGCTCTTTAATTGTTTCATATGGGAGAGTTAATTTCTTATTTCCT